TTTTTCTAACTTTACTTGTTCTAACTGTACTTTCACAATTTTACCATCAGACAAAGTAACTGCATTTTTAGAACATCTTAATTCCATAAACTCTAAAATTCAATTTACTATGGAGTTAGAGGCAAATAATTCTTTAGCTTTCCTAGATGTGTTAGTCATTCGAAATCCTAATAACACCGTAGGTCACACTGTGTATAGAAAAAAGACCCATACAAACCGATACTTAAACGGTGAATCCCACCATCACCCTTCACAGTTAGCTACCGTGGGCAAATCTTTGTTGCAGAGAGCACGAGGGATCTGTGACAGCAAACACCTGGCCGCCGAGCTTCAGCACGTCAAGCAGGTTCTGCACGACAACAAGCTTCGGGTTCCGCGCCTACGTCACAGTGACCGAGTGAAGCCGGCCACAGTCGAGCGTGTGCCTGCTGTACTACCATATGTCAGAGGTGTCACAGACAAGATTGGCTACATCTTGAAGCGAGCTTCTATTAGAACATTCTTCAAGCCGCCGAAGAAGATTAGTCAGTTCTTACCATCCGTCAAGTGCAATATTCCTCTACAAGATGCAGGAGTATACAAGCTTGATTGTGAGTGTGGTCTCTCATATATAGGGCAAACAAAACGATCAATAAAAACCCGCGTAAAAGAACACATAGCTGACGTGAAGCACCAACGTTCCGGGAAGTCTGCAGTTTGTGATCATATCCTAGACGGCCCCCGTCATTACATTAGATTTGATAAACCACAAGTCCTCGCGAAAGAACATCGATTCCTGCCAAGGATGATACGTGAGGCTATTGAAATTAAAAAACATCCTAATTTCAATAGAGAGGGAGGCTGGGTACTACCACCTGCTTGGGATCCTGTAATTCATAAAATTAAAACTAAACCCAAGCATACCACTGTAAGACTTCAAGACACAGTTAGTTCATTCTGCGTAGATCGGACCAAAATTAATAATTAAAAAGCTGAAGGTACTCCGGGTTAACTTTGACATCGGGACGTCAATCACCTCAGTCCCCCGTGACCACGGTTGCTGGAAAGCAACCGAAACGTCGAGAATATAAAATAAGTAAATTAAACGCGATAAAATCCGTAAAAATAGTTTTATTCAATGTGTAGTGTTCGCGTAAATATAAGAAATCATTAAGTTTGCATGGGCTAAGCCCGATACCTAAAACTGTGTATGTTACATGTTAAGTTACTGTTGGCCATAATATGTGGAAGCTCAAAGTGCTCAGAGAGCAATGAGAGGGCTTTTCTTTCGGATTCTCTACATTGAGCTTTCTCATAAGGCCAGCAGTGAAGGACCACGTCTCAGATCCATAGGTCATCATTGGCAACACGCAATGGTTGTATAATCTAGTTATGAGGTTTTGAGGTATGTCTGACGTGAAGATGCGTTGTAATCTCTCAAACGCTGCCCAGCCGAGTTGTATCCGTTGATCGAACTCTCGGTCAAAGTTGGATTTACCTAGTCGGACTATTTGTCCCAGTTAAACATACTCGTCAACAACTTCGAGCTTGGTGCTCCCAACAACTACCGGCATAGGTGTGTAATGGACATTAAACATGATCTTTGTTTTGTCCATGTTCATCTTAAGTCCTATCCGTTGAGAGACACTATTGATGCCATTGAGCATGGGACTTAGTTCCCCCAGTGATTCTGCCATTAGGACTATATCGTCAACAAACCGAAGGTGAGTGATGAACTCGCCATTGATGTTAATACCGTATCCTTTCCAGTCCAGTAGCTTGAAAACGTCTACCAATGCAGCGGTGATGAGTTTCGAGGATATAACGTCACCCTGTCTTACAACTTTCTGCAGTTGGATAGGTTTCGTACTCTGGTTCTGTACTCAGATAGCCATCGTATCCCTTTTGTACAAAATCTTCAGAACTTCTATATACCGATGGTCCACTTAATACCGCCGAAGTGACTGCAGCACCACCCAAGTTTCGACGAGATCAAAGGCTTTGTCGTAGTCCACATACGCTAAACAAAGTGGCAAATTATACTCTTTGGTTTTCTGTATAATTTGCCGAATAGTATGTATGTAGTCTATGGTGCTAAAGCTTTTTCGGAAACTGGCTTGTTTGGGAGGCTGAAATTCGTCGAGTCTTCTTGTTTTGTAATAACTCTTTAAAACAGCAAGTAGACGCGGTTCAGAAGGGAAATCAGTATGTAGTTCTTCAAGAGAGTATTGTCGCCTTTCTTGAGGATCAATACTACTGCACTTCTGCTCCACGCCTGCGGAGTAGCGCCGCCATGGTGAATGGAATTAAAGAGCTTCTAAAGGACTTTAAGTACCGGATTTCTACCCGCTTTCAGAAGCTCCGCTGTAATTCCATCTTCGCCCGGGCACTTGCCGATTTTAATTTGCTAGAGAAATATTCTAATCAAAGTCAGGCTGACGTCCAGGATACCATCGAAATAGTGTCGGGTAAGACTTGCTCTTCGATCGTTACTAACACTTGCGAGTGGCTCCAACGATAACGTGTACAGCTGTCCATAGAGCCTCTCAATCTCACTCAAAATCTCAGGTGTGCCGGAAATAATGCTGCTACATGCGGTCTTCAGCTTTGACAGTTGGCTCTTTCTGGCAGACAGATCTCTGGCAAAGACTTTAGAACCCTGGTTCCGCTCGATCGATTTTTCAATACGAGCAGTATTTAAGTTGCGTTATTCCCGCCGCATGCATTTAAAGATCTGTCTGTTTAGTTGTCTGTATGTTATCAAATCTACTGAAGACTGAAGCTTCATTTCCCATCTCATAGCCACGAGATTAAGAGAGTGATCGGAGAGTTTTTGTGTTCTTCTGCGGCGGGTCTTGCAAAAATTAGCTCCGACCGCAAAGACAGTTGTCATTCATATTGTCCACTGCATTGCAATCTTCTAGGCACTGAAAACGGTTTTGTAACTCCAGCTGAAAGGTTTCAGGACCTTAGATTAGAGCATGAGGGGGACGGAGCATTGATTTCATTTAACCACACCTATCCAACTTAACGTTTAGGTTCAGTGTGCCTCTAACCATTCGGTGATCGCTACCACTTTCACACTCGCGATCACTGAGACATCACTGAACAGTTGCCGTATAGTCGTCATAATGAAGTCAATCTCATTTTTGTCGAACCGTCAGGGCTCGACCAGGTCCACTTCCTATGAGCCGCTTCTGGAAGAAAGAGTTCATCATTAAGAGTCCCTCTTTCTCTATGAAGTCGGCCAGCTGCTGGCCCCTAGAGTTCCGTTGCCCTAATCCAAATTTCCCTACTTTCAGCACACCGTTCTCTCTTGCTTTGCGTTGAAGTCTCCCAATAACACCGTATAATGGGTTTTGGAGGAATGCATGGCTCTAGAGATATCCTCATACATTTCCTCCACCTCCTCATCGGGGTGTTTCGTTTGGTGATTCTGTATATAAAGTACGCAACTTTCTTCGACACACTCCTAACCTTTACAACGTTGTTAACGGGAGACTTGTGAACGATAAATCCGACACCTCCTTGGGACAGATGGTCGCCCTCCCGGTGATAGAACAAGTTGCCGGATTCGAGGAATACCGTGTCCCCCCCCTCTTTGAACCTCGGATAATCCATGATATTCCAGCGCAACTTGTCTATCTCTTCTTCCAGCTTCTGGACCTTCTTGTTAGTCCTCAGGGCGCATGCGTTATAAATTTCCAGATCGAGTCCTCGTAGGTGGCAACCGAACCTACAATGGGGATTCTTAGCACCCCATTCCCCGCCATTACCATGGTCGCCATCGTAGCCAGGTACAGCGGGGCCACCGGGAACTGGAAGCCATTTATTAGTGTCGTTGCTCATGGGAGGTACATGGCCATAGTTGGCACGCATGGTGAGCGGGTTGGCAACCGCAGTTTATTATTGCTGTTTGCTCTAATCAGAAAGATACTGCTGCCCACCTTCTGACTCAGTTTCCCTCTGTCGCCTTTTACGACACCCACGGGAAGGTATGGGGTAGTGGGTATTTTTACCTACCACTGCACGGGTTAATATATTAAATACAAAATAAATGTTGTAGACAGTGATACGAGATAACTTCATTGAAAACAAAAATTGCTAAAACATATAATGGATAAGAAAGAATTATACATATAAATATTTGCATTCGATTTGTTTTGAAAGAGGTATGTAAGGATCGTGACACTTGGCGATCTGTTCTCTCTGGCTACCCCGTCAGGGATTGTGCGTGACGATACGAAAAAGATTTGTTTTTGAAACATGAAAATCATTGAAACAAAGAAGTAAAAAAAAACTAAACAAAATAAGTGAGAACTGATAGGCTACCAGTGACTATTTATATTTCGGTGTGTACTTAAAAGTTACTACAATAAGTGAACTTTTTTTTTAAAAGGTTTCGTATTCATTGATCATTTATTCATCCTTTTCTGATTTATTTTTAAAATCTAATACGAGTATGAAATACCTTGTCTCTCACATTTTCAATCCGTATCAGCAGCTTATAAAGACAACATTATTTCAGGTTAATGCGATACCCCGACCAATACCTTGCGATACTGCGTTTTTCTTCGTTATTCAGAGACTATTATCTCATTACTTATGAGAAATAAACTACATCTAAAAACACATTATTAATGTTCGATATCCTATCGTCGCATTCCACATTCTATTTTGTTTTTATGTGTAATAAATACATTCTAAATCTACTAAATTATTGATTACACACATCTGTTGCTAAAGGCAACGCTCTTTAAGGATTACACTAATGGATAGATAATTCAAAAATCTATATTATTCACCTTTTGTTTAATTATTAAAGTTCGCTTTTCTCTTTTAATTAAAACAATTCCAAAAATTATGTGAATTCCATGATAAAGCGGCGTACGTCTAAAGAGGGAACGAATGCTCAAGGTTATTTGGTTAGGGAAACGCCTTAAAGTTATGTATAAGTCCCAAGTGCCTCTACGAACACTTTTATAACATTTATTTTATTAATATTAATAATATTACTCTACCTCGACCTCTAAATCTTTTACAAGGCGTCTGGACTGGCTGTTAAAAACCTTCTGATATCCATCCAATACCAGCTGATTAAAAGCTGGGTTTAACAGTTTTCGATGACGCTTCCATATTGATTCTGCGCAAACATCATATTTAACATATAAACTACACATTTATTTATTCACTTTCTCCTTCAAAATTTTATACTACAAGTCAATTTTCGATGAAATATATTCTTTAAATTTAAACGATTAATGATCGCTTAGTTTAAAAAAAATACGTACCTTTTCCGGTTAAAAGACCCTCTCCTAGCCAGGGTTTAGCAAATTCATATATAATGTCCTTCTGTAAACAAGCGTTAGCCACAGTCAAGCAGTCTTCGGGATCTGTTAACACTGGAAACAAATCAAAGGTGAAAATAATTTATTTGTGTGTACTATACCTTATAATACATAATACCATATTATAAATACACTACCGTATATGGTCTGAGGTCCAATTGATATTTTTGTTACTCCACCCGCTTTTAAGCTACGATATGACATTTCTTTTACATTATTCCAGAGATCTGGGAAATAAATAAAAACCATTGCTTTATACGTAAATATTCTTTAATTTAAATTATGCTTGGATTTCGCCTCTATTTTAAGCCCTAAACTTTAAGGTAAACATTGATCTAGGTGTGCGTCACATATGTACGTCGCAGTATACAAAGTGGTAGAAAATCCTGGTAAACTGGATTAGTAAGGACCTCACCCTTCCAGCAGTTATGTTCCATTACTGAACGGGGATTTGGCAAGAAGGGCTATCAAGGACCGTCATGGTTCAGAAGGTGGCTGCTGAGAGTGAACGGAACAAGATAAATCCCGCTCGGGAACTACATCAACAAGGCAAAAATCACGGCTCTTCTACTGGTGATGATGTTTTCCTTTCAGAAACGGGGCTTCTGGAGTTGCTAGCAATCATTTTTTTGGGCCCAAATGCTGAATTTAGTAACTTACAAGGAAAAAATGACACTAAAGTGGTCTCGAGACATCCCGATAGCACTATGAGGGTATTAGAGCAGCAAGCATTGGGTTAAGATACGCTTCTAGCAAAGTGAATAGCGAAACATGGGTGCCAGTTGCGTGCCGAATGGAGATTCAAGGACCACTGATATACGCCGATGGTGATCACCGGTAGCGATCTAATGGTATCATAATACTTTTTTGTCCCAGGGAATGTATTCATGGCGATATTTTCACTTTAAACTTTCCATTTCGTGGTTAATTTTGAGTTCAATTTATATTTGTGTCTATATTAAACTTTAAAAAAAAAGTTCAATAACTTCAAACGCAACCATCCAACAACTCGAGTGTACAAACTTTCTATTTGCCAATGGCATCATTAGCGTCAAAATTAGCGTTCCTAGTAGTACAGCAGACAGGCGGTCGCTGTAGTCGCGGATGCAGTCGGATTGGAAGTCACTGGGAGGAATGATCATCCGCAAACCTTCAGTGTGCGGCTTATGGACAGGACTTAATTTCGAAATGGTAAAATCGAACTCTAGGGATCTCTATAAACGTGGAAATATATAAAAAATTACGACTTCGCAAAGTTGGACTCAATAGAACAATAATTACCTGGTACGAATTTAATCGAGTTTAATTTAATCGTACGAGTTTAATCCTCAGAAGACACAAGTTTGCGCGTTTACCGCTAAAAAGAACCCCTTTGTCTTATCTCCTCAGTTTCAAGGCACTCCCCTTCTTGCCTCAGCCAGTATCGGTATCCTCGGAGTCGACATATCGAGTGACGTGCAGTTTCGTGGTCACTTGGAAGAGAAGGCCAAATTGGCCTCTAAAAAGCTTGGCGTGCTCAGCAGAGCGGGACAGTATTTCATGCCGGCACACCGCCTGCAACTTTACAAGGCGAAGGTTCGGCCTCACATGGAATACTGTTCCCATCTCTGGGCAGGGGCTCCCCAGTGCCAGCTCCTTCCACTTGACCGCATCCAGCGCAGAGCGGCTCGAATCGTCGACGACCGAGCCCTTTCCGATCGGCTCGATTCATTGGCACTGCGAAGAGATGTTGCATCTCTTTGCATTTTCTTTCGCATCTACCATGGGGAGTGCTCTGAGGAATTGTTCGGATTAATCCCAGCCGCCAAATTTCACGAACGCACATCGCGGCAGAACTCCCGATACCATCCACACCATCTGGATGATTGGCGGTCCACCACTGTGCGATTTAGAAGATGTTTTCTTCCTCGCACAACTTCCTTGTGGAATAGTTTACCACCAGGCATTTTTCCGGACCGATACGACTTAGGGACCTTCAAGAAAAGAGCCTACTCCTTTTTAAAAGGCCGGCAACGCATCTGCAATTCCCCTGGTGTTGCGGTTGTTCATGGGCGGCGGTAGTCACTTACCATCAGGTGAGCCGCATGCTCGTTTGCCCCCTCTCCTATAAAAAAAAAAAAAAACGATATAATAAATTTAATAGTTTGGAAATAAAAAAAAATAACATAAACGATTATCATAAGCAAAGGCGATTAAAAACAATCGCATTAGAAATTATGCATGGTGAAATATTTATATAGTTTGGGACATCAACTGTATATTATATATTAAATTTATATTAAAATTAATTGTATATTAAAATCATTTTATTGGACTCTACTCGTATGCTCTTTTACGTGTGTATGTAATGCGACATCTTCGTCAAATTTGAAGAAAGTTTGAGAGAAAGAAATTAACAACCAAGAGTAGGATTTTTTCACCCCTAAAGTTTTTATACAACTATTTCAATAACATTCTTGTTGTTACCTTAAGCTTTTGACATTCCTTCTGCTGCTGAACATAGACTAACGCCAGAGATTGCCTCACAGGGGATACCTCTTTGCCATAGTTGCCATGCTTGATACTACATTAATGACTGAATAAATTAATAAAAATGTTAACAACTTCACGATATGTTTGTTTTATTTTTATTTTATAACAGGTATGAACTTAATGTTTGCTTAAGATTTTATCGCTAATTATTAACATATTTTTATATTCTCTATGTTACGAGTGATTATTAAATTAGCTTTATTTATGTATACGAGGGCGGCACAGAAAATTTCGGTCAGAGAAGTCACACAACATTACTATTTAAAAATGTATTTATTGTTTTTCGAAGTATTCTCCGCGAAATATGACACATTTTTCCATACGATGGAACCAATCATTGAAGCAACCATTCCATTCGGAAGTTGGGTTTCCAAAATGGCCGTTTTGTAGGCGTCCACAGCTTCTTCAGTTGATGAAAATCTCTGTCCACGCAATTTATTCTTTATTTTAGGGAAAGTATAGAAATCATTAGGGCTTAGATCGGGGCTGTACGGCGGATGGTCTAATAATTCTATGTTTTCTTGCTCTAAAAACTCTATCGTTCTGTGTGCGGTGTGAGAACTCGCATTGTCGTGATGGAGGATGATGCGGCGGTTGCAGTTCTCTTTACGGAGTTCAGAAACGACCTGTGGCAAACAAATGCTAGCATACCATTCTGCATTAACCGTTCTTTGTCCCTCAAGAGGAATAGTCGTAACATGGCCGGTTTTGGAGCAAACGTGGCCACCATTTTTTTTGCACCACTCCGTGAACGAACAATTTTTGTTGGCTTTAACTCATTTTTGAACACCCAAACTCGTGACTGGTTTTTTGTTTCGGGTCCGTACGCATATATCCAGGATTCGTCACCTGATACGATGTTGTATACAGCATTTGAGGATCCTGCGTGTAATCTTTCGGGAGTTCTGACGCACCAAGTAACGCGAGCCGCTTTTTGCTCTTTACAGAGCGAATGCGGTATCCATCGGGAAAACAACTCTTTTACACCTAATTGTTCATGCAAGATTATTTGTATTTGACTCATGCCAATGTCTAAAGTTGCCTGAATTTCGCGGTATGTCACATGTCGATCTTCCTCAATCAGCTTACGCACAGCATTAACGTTTTCTTGAGTGACTGCAGTTTTTGGACGACCTTGACGGGGATCATCACTGAGCTTGACACGTCCACGTTGAAATTCAGCAAACCAGCGATAAATTGTGGTTTTGGATGGGGCTTCATCACCAAATGCAGAAATCATCCGGTCAACACACTGTTTCTGTGTTAAACTGATTCGAAAGTCATAATAAATCATTGCTCTTGAATTTTCAATCCAGTCAATTCCATTTTCTCAACGACTAAACAAGTTTGATAAAACCTTGTGACAAGACCGAGAATCTTTTTTCAAATAAAAAAATGGTATTCGATTATTAAAACCAAGGACTTTTCAATTAAAAAAAATTAATATGACAGGAACAGTGGAAATATTCCATTCCCGATACTTTTAGTGCAGCCTATGTAGTTATTAAATAATTACTTGATAACATATTTGGTTTTTAATTGGCTTTTTTTCTACGAATCTCATGTACAATAGTACGAAACTTCTAAACAATCGACTGCTAATTGGCTTAACAGGCGTGGCAATTACACCAAACCCTATTATGGAATTGACTTATGTCTAGCAGTAAATAACTTTTAATCTGATAGAAATAGAAAGATATTTTTTTATATTTCAGTGTTTTCACAAAATTCGGTGACAAACGCGTACTCAGTCCACCTGTGATGGTAAGTTGATTCTATGACCCATAGACCTACATCTATCATCGACTAAGTATCAAAATGCAGATGCGTTTTCACAACTAAGGACTAAGATGGGTAGAAGTATTTGGTTCCCTTCACTAACCATACGAATCGCAGCAGCCTTATTCTGCTGTTTCACGCTGGTATTCAGTAAAAACGTGATCCAATCCCGGCCGAATCGATCCACGTGTGCTGCAGCTATGTACCAGCTGCGGCGTCACTCAACCACTTTCATATTTAATTTAGTATAATACATTTTATAACATCATCATAATGAGATTTTTTATATTTACGCGAACAGTACACATTTAAATAAAACTAATTTTACGGATTTTATCGCGTATATTAACTTATTTTATATTCCCCTCGTTTCGAGCACTTTCTGGCACCCATGGTCAAGAGGGGCATTGGTGTATGACTTCCTAATGTCATAGTTAACCACGGTTACCTCCAGATTAAAAATTATAATCTTTTGTTCCGATCTACGCAGTATGAACTAACATTATCTTGAAGTCTTACAGTTGTATGCTTGGGTTGGGATTTAATTTTATTAATTATGGGATCCCAAGCAGATGGTAGCACCCAGCCATCTTCTCTATTGAAATTAGGATATTTTTTGATTTCAATAGCCTCGTGAATCATCCTTGGAAGGAATTGGTGTTCTTAAGCGAGGATTTGTGGTCTATCAAATCTAATGTAGTGACGGGGGCAATCTTGTACGTGTTCACAGACAGCAGACTTCCCGGAACGTCGATTCTTCACATCAGCTATGTGTTCTTTAACGCGGGTTTGTATGGATCTTTTAGTTTTTCCTATATAAGAGAGACCACATTCACAATCAAGCTTGTACACTCCTGCATCTTGCAACAGAGGGACATTACACTTGACTGATGGTAAAAACTAACTAATCTCTTCGGCGGCTTGAAGTATGTAAAATTAAATTTAGACGTGAAATTGATAATAATTACGTGTGTTAAAATTAGTTTTAAATATAAAATCATAAATGAGCTCATTGTTTTCCAGCTGCTTGGAAGTGTTATGCCTCTGCTCTAAACATAAAGCACACAGATGCGTTTTCCGCCCGGTTTTCCTAGGCGGAAAAACGTGCCTTAAATTAATTTTATATACAAATATGCAACTCTTATCGACAACTGGACATGGAGGGCAAATATATAAATCAATAAAAAAAATTGTATACTTACAAACAGTATCTCCCATAAAAAGATGTGCATGTCCGATTAACGGCCATGCTCCAGGAAGAGCGGGTGGTTCCAGTTTAGACTTTGCTTTTCGATGCCACCATGTCCAATACAGCGCAAACGTTATACAAAATAAAGCTATATACAGCATGTCGATCTAACCTAAAACATTAGTGACTATATGAATTGAATATTATACCTAATGAGAAAACGTGTATAGATGAGAAATTTTAAAAGTATCTCGAAGACATGAAGTTCGCTTAAACGCATTGTGTCAACGCTGTAGGCTTTTCGATGTTTTAAGCCCACTCAAAATGCCTAGCAGATAGCCGCATGTGGACTATTATTCTTACCTCACTTTTGAAAAAAAGAAGAAAATAGTTTATTTAATAATACATCATTACTGTTTGTATATTTATTTAACTTCAACATTCAATCTTAGAGTGAAGCAGAGAAAATATGAGGAAGGTTTATAAGTTAGGTGTATAGGTAAAAATAGAAATGTAAATTAGAGTTAATACTATAGAACCAAATAATAAATATACCCATCCACATACTTACATATTATTATAATTTTTTTTAAATATCTATCAAACAGATTGCTTGTAATATCAAAAGACATGGAAAACTGACTAAACAGTGTTTGATGATTATTTCATAAATTGTAAGAGATATAAATTGGTTCTACACGAAGGTATTCGCGGATAAAATGTAGTACCTACATAACATTATATATGCATTTTAAACATATAAAAATAAATAAATTACATAAAGAGCTGGGTGACAAACGAGCACACAGTCCACCTGATGGTAAGTGGCTACTGTGACCCATAGACATTTACATCTATCCTCAATAAAGACTCAAGATGCAGATGCGTTGTCACCCGTGAGGACTAAGATGGAATGCCTCTTTTCAATTAAAAAGGGTCTCCGGTACTCTACACTCACCAAACGAAACAAAGCACCGTTAAGCTGTTATTTTACGCCGGTATTCTGTGAGAGCGGGGTCATTAGCCGGTCGAGTCGACCCATTCGTGCTAAAACTATACTACTATTATAGCTGTAGCATGGCTCTACCACGTAGAAGTTGAAAAATTGCGTTTAAAATGAAAGTTTATTTATCTCATTCTTGAGTGGCGTCACCCTGGTAGCAGAATAGTCGTGGATTTATGCCTTTTTCATTTATATTATTGGCTTGATCCAAAGTGAAAGAAAGTTTTAATATAAAAATTAATTTAAATAACAAACACTATTTAAAATGTTACAATTTCTTTACATAATAAAAATAAAGCAAAACTTTGCCTGCCTGTTAGAATACTCGTATACATACAATTAAACATTTTAAATTCTTCACGAAAAACAGAACTTTTATCAACAATATTAATCCTTAGTCCTTCAATTTTTTTAAATTTCAATTTCACCATCACACATTACGACAAAATTTGTGATACCATCCATACCACCTGGATGATTGGCGGTCCACCACTGTGCGATTTAGAAGATGTTTTCTTCCTCGCACAACTTCCTTGTGGAATCGATTACCACCATTTTTTCGGAACGATACGACATAGGGACGTTCAAGAAAAGAACTTACTCCTTTTTAAAAGGCCGGCAACGCATCTGCAACTCCCCTGGTGTTGCAGTTGTTCATGGGCGGCGGTAGTCACTTACCATCAGGTGAGCCGCATGCTCGTTTGCCCCCTCTCCTATAAAAAAAAACCCTAATACTACACGCAGAACGAGCGTGTAAGTGAAGACCGAAAGAGTATAACTAGTTTATTATACTTCTGGCCTGACTGCCACGTCCGGGACACAATTTGCTACAATTGTATGTAAGTATATATTAAAGTTAAAACACAAAGTATAACAAAATAGAAAATACTACCATTAAATTTAAATAATTTTTTCTTTTTATCCGACTTCCCGAGACAGAGGACAATATTTTACGTGTTTTTTTTGTGTGTATGTACGTCTATTTCTGTAGCATGATTAGTTTTCTAAACGAAACAGAAGAAACTGTTCAAGCAGTCGGAGTAAATGTCAATTTAGCATAACTCTTAACATTGGTAAAATTCATCATTATAATAGCACAAAATAAATTTTATTGGTGTGATTTTTCCTTAATTGTTTTTTGAGAACTTAATTTTACTGTCGACTTGATGCTCAAGTCTCTAATCGTGTCAAATTTTTATTGGGGTTTTCATAATGTCTCTTATTTATTATTTTTTATATAAAATTGCAAAACCATGTGCAAACATTGAGATTAATGTCATTATTTTTACATCACTTTCCTCATGGAGCATATTAATATTTTTTTAATCATCAGCATTAAATGTATGTTTTAAGATTTATATATTTTAAAAATAAAAAAGACATACCTCATAAAATAGGACCGTTAACACAAAGTAAAAAAATAATTTATGGATTAAGAAGTTGTGTGATGTGATAAAGTGATCCACAATGTCGAATACTTCAACTTCATTACCCCCAGTCAACTGATTTAAAGTGCTATAGACAATTATCAAATTAGAGGGTGAATGAAAAGAAATAAAAATAAACAGAAGAGTACATAAAGGAACCCGCTATCGCAAAAATTATTTACCGTTTTTATAGAAAAACAGGCTTTTATAGGAATAGCAACAATGTGGCAAAACCATAAACGGAGAAAAATTGTCCAACTTATGATTTGCAGATGATATTAAATTATATGCTACAATAAGAAACCACCTCAAAATATGCTTAAAGACCTTGAAATTTTGATTGTGCTTTCTTGTGCATGTTTACAAAAAGGAAAAAAAATAACTTCGCGCTTTTGTTGAGTATAATATGTGCTCCAAAAATTACTAAACAAAACAACTAAACAAGTCTATAAACATTTGATATAGGGTAAATTTTTCGTTATCCTACAGTTGCACGTTGTTGCATCAAATTCAAACATGAACCAAAGACGACACTCGCTCCGGACGTCTTACGATAGCAGTAATCGTAGAAACGGTAGTAAAAATTATTAGTAGGTCGTCCTGTGTGCATAACAAACGCTTCGAATCGAAAAAGTTTCCACACGTATGATACCCCGAATATTTGCTAATGCGCAGGAACAAATTAGATAAAATATTTCTCGGGGCTTCAGGAAAATGTTTCAAAAAGATCCTGATCGGTTTTAGCTCGAAATACACCAATGGACGAAACGTTGTTTAACTATTACGATCCCGAAACAAAATTACAGTCCATGCCTTAAAATATTCTGCATATAATGTCTTCTTCATTATATATTTCTATTATATAATGAAGATTGTCATCATTATATAATACTCTCCTAGTTACGAAATAATGGTGCAGTTGGTAATGACAAATACTGCCTCGAACGTCTCCCACAAAAGATTTATCATACGTACTCAGCAAAATTCATTACAAACAATAAAAAAAGCGAGAAAGGCCTGTTGCGGAGAGGTTACTTTGTGTCACATGTCCTCATTTATTTCTAACATTGTAAGTGAAAAACTTTCTTGTAATATTATGTAAATATTTTCGAACGCAGGATCCTTGAGGGGAGAGTCAGAATCTAAAGAGAAAATATTTACCTTGAACAATCTTAGTGAAAATTATGGATTTTAAATGGAAACTTGTGACGGAAGTGATAGATAGTTAGCCCGTCACCTGAATTATTACAAACCCGATAAACCAATAACTGAAGGACACAGTTGTCGCATAATTCTTTGTTATAAGTTTCAATAAAAAAGTGGAAACATGAATGTATAATATTTTAATAATATTTAAAAAAAAAAGAAAACAGTGACCAAGTTTCTACAACATTAATAGTTAATAAAAATCAATTAAATACTTATTTACATAATTAAGTACTTGCGTTATGCAACAACTTACCGTATAACGAAGATTTCGCGAAGGCTGCGCAAAACATGAATGAGGTTTTCTTTTTCTGCTTGCTCAATATATAGACAAACTCGCTAATTGTTTGCTTTATTCTTGCTTGTTTTAGTAAATAATGATTTAATTCTCAATGGTCAAGCATAATTAAAAACAAGTCATCATGGTTAATGGTCAATAAAAATAAATTCTTAAAGTTAATATTTTCATTAGGTATTAAATAAATAATGTAATAATATTTTAATTGTCAATTGTATTATAAATTATGGAACTTTGTCTATCTTTTTATTCACTGTGCACGCAAAAACGACTTTCCGTAAAATGTGATATGTAGTGTTACGGGTGATGGTAGATTATTAATAGGTGGTTAAACTCCCTCACTCGTACAAGCAGTATAAAGAACTGCGCAGACAATTAGCTTAGATTTTGCTACGACTCTCAATTGTTTTTCATAAATTTTGTTTTAGTGCCATTTAAATGCAAATTACACTAAACCATTTTACTAATTTAAATATGGCATTATTTAATTCGTTATATTTTAGTAATTGTTGTCTTAATTTGAAAATTTATTAAGTGTCATCAGCAAATAATTCTATACCATGGTTATCCCCTACTATGTAAGGAAAGTCATTAATGTATACAAGAAACAGGAAGGGGCCGATAATTGAGCCTAGAGGCACATGAAAATGCTCATATTAAAATAAAAAAGCTCATACTTTTAATGACAACTATTTGTGTTTTGTTACTTAATATAAAATAATTAATTTAAGAGCATTACTTCTTACACTGTAGTGTTGAAGTTTCCTGATTATTGTTTCATGGTGACCACAATGAAAGGCCTTTTATAGGTCACAGAATATACCTATATATCCTGTAAATTCTCCCATGCATTAAAGATATATTTAATCAGCACAGCACCGCCATCATTTGTCGAGCAACCCCCTGTGAAACCAAATTGATTTTTATGATGTCAATCATTTATATGATAAAAATTAAAATTTGATCAAGAATCATTTTTTCAAAAGTCTTACTAAGTGTTAGTAGCACAGAAATAGGTTTAAAATTGGCGGAGTCTAATGTACTACTAGATTAAATAAAGGTACTAGATACGTAATATGCTTCATTAAATCAGGAAAAACAACAGATTCGATACAAGCATTAAAATCACTATTAGCATTAAAACCACGGTGTCAGATTTATCGTTCTCAAATCTCTCTTTAACAACGTTGTAAAGATTTGAAGTGTGTCAGTTTCAGTGTGTGGAAGATTGGTTTGTACCTTATACTCGGAATTAACAAACAGTATTTGCTAAAGGTCATACAAGTTTAAGCAGAAACCTCTGCACATCTCGATGAGGACGTCTGAAGAAAATGTATGAGGATTTCTCTAGAGCTATGCATTTCCTTAAGAAACTGCAACGCAAAGAAAGGTACGAGAGAGAACGGTGAGCTAAAAGTGGCGAAATCCGGGATAAGAAAATGGAACACAAAGGGACAGCAGTTGGCCGATTTCATGAAGAAAGAAAGACTCCATATGATAAACTCCTTGTTCTACTAGTGGCCCCACATAGAAAGTGGACCTGGTCGAGCCCCGAAAGTTCGATAAAAAAAGAGATTGACTTCATTATGACGACTTAACGGCAACTGTTCAGTGATGTCTCAGTGATTGCGAGGGTGAAAACCAGCAGCCATCACCGAATGGTGTGAAGCACACTGAACTTAAACGTTAAGTTGTAGAGTTCACGTCTAATGAAGTCAACGCTCCGTCCCACTTGTGGTCTAATTCAAAGTCCCGAAACCTTTCAGCTCGAGCTACAAAACCGTTTTCAGTGCCTAGAAGATTGCAATACAGTGGATGATATGAATGACAAGTTCGTGGAAACTGTCCTTGCGGTCGAACAACCCGCTAAAAAAAAGAAAACAAAAACTCTCTGATCACACGCTTAGTCGCATGACTGTTAGACGGGAAAGGAAGCTGCAGTCTTAAGCAAATTTAACAGCATACAGGCTACTGAACAGACAGATCTTCAAATAAATCCTGAGGGACTTACGCAACTTAAATACAGCTCGTATTGAAGAAGCGATCGAGCGAAACCAGGGATCCAAATTCTTTATCAGAGATCTGTCTGCCAGAAAGAGCCAACTGTGAAATCTGACTGAATTTGGCAGCATTGTTTCCGGGACACGGGGAGATTTTGAGTGAAATTGAGGGGTTATATCGGCAACTATACACGTCATCGTTGGAGCTACATGCAAGTGTCAGTAACCATTGATGAGCAAGTCTTATCCGACCCTATTCCAATGATATCAAGGACGTCAGCCTGAGTGAGATTAAAATCACTCTCCAGCACCTTAAAAACGGCAAGGCTCCGGACGAAGATGGAATTAGAGTGAAGCTTCTGAAAGTGGATGGGGACATGGAAAAACAAAAATCAAATCATTTATAACGTCTATCTCACACCTATTACGAGTTTTAGGGACACTAAGCTCGAATTTGTTAATGAATATGGTAACCTGGGACAAATAGTCCGACTAGGTAAGTCCAACTTCTATCTCGGCTAGACAGCGTTCGAAAGATCACATCTCCTCGTAAAAATGTATGTTTGCTATGGAGTTAGAGGCAAATTATTCTTTAGCCTTACTAGATGTGTTATTCATTCTAAATCATAACACCACCATAGGTCATACGGTGTATATAAAAAAAGACCCGTACGAATCGATATTTAAACGGTGAATCCCACCATCATCTTTCACAGTTAGCTACCGTGGGCAAATCTTTGTTACAGAGAGCACGAGGGATCTGTGACAGCAAAAACCTGGCCGCCGAGCTTCATTACGTCAAGCAGGTTTGGCACGATAACAAGCTTCGAGTCCCGCGCCAACGTCACAGTGACCGAGTGAAGCCGACCACAGTGGAGCGTGTCGAGAATATTAGTCAGTTTTTACCATCAGTCAAGTATAAATTTTAGGACTTTTGTGCTGATTTTGTCTATTTCACTACTAGTATTGGGATTTAAGTTGTGAATAATTTTATTTAATTCATTTGTATTACATGCGGTAAAGGCAGACAGTTTATGATTGTTTATTTGTCTTTGTATGAAATCAGGATTCAAGGTACTATCGTAATATTTGTAAGGTATTTTGTTTGCTAATAGAGAACCTATAGTAGAAAAATATTTGTTAAAAATATCACAAATTTCATCTATGTTGCTAATTAGTTCAGAGTCTATTAAGAGCTTTGGAGGAGCACTACTTTGTTTTATTTTGTTATTTGCTAGGTTATTTATAAGAGCCCACATCTTTTTAGGATTATTAGTATATTTTGTAAATAGTTTATAGTAGTAGGAATTTTTCGTATTTTGTATCAGTTTAGCTATTGTGTTTCTTTTTTGCTTGTATTCTTGTTCTAATCTCTTGTCATCCTGATTTTTTTTGTGTTGCAACCATAGGTATTTCCTTTGGGCAATCCCAGTGATTATATCACTGTTGATCCAGTCATGTTTAGGGGGGTTCAGTGTTTTTGTTTTCACTACTCGATTATGTGCTACGCATTGTTTTATTTTATTTTCAAGATATTCGTAAGTGTCTGCAGTGGCTTCCGTTTCATATGATTCCATTTCATTATACATTCTTTTGTTATCTGTTGCCTCATTAGTCGTTCTTACTTTCTTGGGTGGTTCATATTTATTCAATTGCAGGAAGATCTATCTATCTCTAGATGTATCCATAAGAAGTTGTTTCCTTCTACATACGTCGATTCTATAGAGTGATGTTTCAAGTTGTTGTGTATGTACGCTGACACTCCTCCACATATGATATCGTTTCTGTAGTTATAATAATGAGTGTAGTTATCGATCTGCAATTGTCGGGCTTGTTCTTCATTTCGTATCCAGGTTTCTGTCACTATTATTACGTGTATAGGTGTTGGTGTCAATTTCAGAATACATTTTAGTTCGTCTAACTTTCCTTTTTTTTTATACTTCTTGCATTTAGGTATAGAAATGAAACGCCTGATTTTCTTGTCTGTATGAGTCCGTATTCACTTACAATTTGATATAATATATCAGAATTCTTTGTATGCCTTATTGGCCGTTGGAGTTTTTTGGGACAGATTTAACGATGTTTAGTATGCCATTTATGTATCTTATCGTAATATCATCTTCTACGTTATTTCTACGTTTTGTAAGTTTATCCTTTATGGCTAGAAAGTGCTTTTGTTGCGCAGGAGTTTGATCAGAGAAAATTTTGATATTAGATGGTAATTTGGCTTTGTTACGTAGTACTACGATTGCAGGCTGTGGTTTATTAAAACAGACTTTAATTCTACGAGTCTTTTCAGGTTTGTATTTGCCAATACGAAAAATTTTAATCAGCTTGAGAATGTCCTTACTTACCACGGATGTTATGCTTAAAACCTCAGCTTCGTCTTTTGCAACCCTCTCATCAGTAATGGTAGCAGTCTGTTCTGATATGCCAACTATAATAATATTTTTTTCTCTCTTTAATTTCCTGAATTATTTCTTCACATTTCCTCAACTGATTCGGCTCTGATGAATTCTTAGTAATAGTGGAAGATGTCTTGAGACTACCTTCAAGACCAATGAGCCTGTCTTCGTGCGTAGAAAATTTGCTATTTAAATCTGTTATACATACATTGATGTTGTCCTGGTCTTTTACTATCCCCGAAGTCGAGGATTTGATGTCCTTGATCTCTTCTTCAATGTTATTATATTTTCACGCATATCGGTCATTAATTTCACCTGTGATATAACGAAATTTTCTAATGGATTATTCATACGCGATACTTCACTGCGTAGTTCTCGTATCTCAGCTTTGCAGTCACAGTCGTGGTCCAGTTTTTTTCTTTTACGGGTACTAACATTACTTACTTCTTCCGTCCTTCTGGACAAGTCTGGTTGTGAGTTGTACTTTGATTTATTGCCATTTGGTGATCGAATCATGTTGTATCAGTTTGTAAATAAGTCGATATAATAGAAATGCAAACGATATTTTTATTTACAAATGCGCAAGCGTTTAAT